ATGAACTTCCTGAGAACGTTTTCCCAAATGGATTTATTCTCCAGCGATTAAAATCCAATGTGAATCGCTTCTTTCTCATAGGTACCGCTCTGAGAGCGCCTTAAGGATGTTTCTATAGTGCGAATGTTGTGTCCAAAAAAAATAAAAAAAATTGTGTAGTGTTCTTGTAAATGATATCTGTTTAAATTTTATAACGAATGTTTGTAGTATGAATTGAATAGGAAAAACGAATTTCGGAAGGGCTTTTCTTTCAGTTTGTATCTTTATGAGCATAATCTAAAGATCTATGTGGAAAGTTTATGTTGAACTTGATTGCTTTCTTTCTTCCTTCGGAAGATTCCCAATTCAAATATATTTTTTGTCAATCAAGATATTCTCCAACAATAATTTCTTAGGTTTTGAGCACGAAATGAAATCACTTTGAGAACATTAATCATTTCGAGAAAGCTAAGTATATGAAAAAAATTAGCATTCATTTCATTCATCAGCTGAATTAATGAATATGACAGGTATTGCAGAAACGAAAGTGCAAAGGAAGTGACTTGCTTACGCAGAGACTAACCTTTACATTTCCGCCTCCGCTACGTGACCTTCGTTACAATACTGCATACGTGCGCCTTTGTTTGCAAATTGTCTAAAAATTGTATGACCCACTATTTGCTGGTATTGCCAAATGTATGTTTCTTCTATTATTATATGTATTCTGTGACCATTGTATGACATAAAATCGTAGATGGCGCAAGCTATGCAATTGCCGAGAAATAAAATTAGTTCTATGAATAACATTGAACACCTTATTGAATTTCTACCAATATTCTAAAATTATTACCAAAATCACTTATAATGTTCACAGGTAAGTATATAGGCAGCAGGGCTTCCAAATCAAAACCCCATGTATTTTCTTATGGAGGTTCATTCTGGCAATTTTGGATCCTAAGANCAAATTTTGACTCACCGTGCCTATACCAAATCTTCCCTTCCGCTCTGGGCAAGTACTGCAGATGACGTTTCAATGCACCAACACACATATACAGCAAAGAATGTGTGAAGAATTATCGATAGTGTTTAATGATAACAATAAACATTCAGCTTTAGACACAACAAAATTGTATCTATTTCACAGGTGGGAAGCTTCCTCTCTCTCTCTCTCTATTAGATCGGGCATACGCTGTTTTCAGACGTCAGCGTTCCAAACGGTAAATTACGCAGGAAAACGTATGTAAATCAACAACAACAAAACATTTCGTCAGCAATTTCTGAACTGTAATACCTGCTCTCAAGCGATTTTCATTCCCCATGAAAAACTAGGAGTTAGTTTTCGAATGTCTTAATTTTCATTGAGCTCTGCCTGATGATGAACAAAAAGCCAACACCTGTTATTAAAATGACTATTCTGTAACAAAACTATTGTTCCTTTAACCAAAGTCCAATATTCCCAATGAAAGAGCCCAAAAAAGCCATGAGCAAAAAATGCACGCCAAATTCGATCAAAGTCAAGGTTTTGCTCACTGTTTTCTTCAATAACCGTGGCATAGAGCATTAGGAGTTCTTGCTACATGGTCTTACGGCGTTGGAAGTTATTGGTTCCTACCTAGCAACGTCTTAATTGTCAAAAACGACTCTCCTCGATAGTAAAACTTAACAGATTGTCTCTGGTCTGGATTCCTGGCTATACTGGCCTGGAAGGCAATGAGGCTGCTAACTCCCTTGCAAAGGAGGGTGCTGCAAGCAGCTTCATCGAACCGGAACCTGTCATTGGCATCGCTTTAGGCTTTGCCAAACAAAGATTGAACACCTGGATGGCAAGAAGATTTATGGAGTTTTGTCAGAATCGTCCGGGATTGGCTCACTCCTTCGAAGATACCATACCAAACAGTTGTTGGACTACAGTAGGGATGAACTACGATATCTAACAGGCCTTCTTACAGGTCACCGTCATTTGAATCATCATATGCAGGGACTCGGACTGTTGGGAGACAGTGTGTGTTTGGAAAATGATGAAACAGCAGAGCACATACTTTGTGCATGTCCCGCTGGGGACCGAATCAGGTTTTTAGAGTTCGGCAGAACCGTACTCTTATCAACTGACTTGAAAGGCCACTAACCATACAAACTAATTGGCTTCGTTAAGAAGCTGGGTTTATTTTTTCGCGTGTGAATAGGTTTGAGCCACAATAAACCCTTACGGGTTGCGGTGGAGGGTCGAATAGACCCACTCACTTTGAACCTAACCAATCTACGGTGATTAAGCAGTATTACTTTGATTCCTCAGCCACCGTATTCACCAGATTTGGCCCCCTGCGACTTTTTCCTGTTTACAAGATTGAAGATACCCCTGAAAGGCCGGCGTTTTGCGAAGATTGAGGAGATAAAAACCGAATCGCCGAGAGAGTTTAACGACATACCAAAAAGTGCATATTAGAACAGCTTCGAAGATTGGAATAAATGCTAGCACAAGTGTATAATATCTGAGGGGGACTTCTTTGAAGGTGACAAAATAAAACTTATGATGCGCTGTTTGGAACCTTTGGTGTAGTAATGAGTATTACTGGAGTTTTTTCCCAACACCAAATCGTAACATTTAACACCTCGACGCGTGTTTTGATCACCAAGTGATCATCTTCAAAGAGGAAGATTAAAACTAGAAACTAATGCGAGCTAACCCTATTTATGCTATATTCATGAGCAGATTCGAAATGGAAACCAAAGAAAAGTCGAAGTATTTTCCTAGGATTTGGCTAAGGTATGTGGATGATATTTTCGCGATATTCGATACCAAAAAATCGAATATTGACGACTTTGTTTAGATTTTAAATAATAGATGTCTATCAATAAAATTCACGTATGAGTTAGAAAATAAGGGATAACTACCATTTCTTGACGTTTTGGTTATGAGGAGCCAATATGGAGGGTTAGAATAGGATATATTAAGAAAAGAAACAAGCACGTACAGGTATATTCCTGACAGTTCACATCACTGTGGACAGCACAAACGTGCTGGGTTGAATTTTTTAGTGCATCATCTTCTGACTTTCCCTCTAACACATGATAGGTTCACAAAAGAAAGACGTACAATACAGGAAATAGCAGCCACTAACGGTTTCTCGAGGGGTATTGTAGATGACATAATAAGGAAGAAGAAGTTTAGGTTAAAAATGAACGAAATCATGACTTTCAAAAAGGACCAAAACCAAGATAAATACATCTCAGTTCCATACCACCAATATACGAGGAACTTTGGAAAGATTTTCAAGGAACTTCAAGGAACCTTCAGTTTTTAAAACAAGTCATACACTACAGAGCCTTTTGGGAAGTCGAGAATTCGGAAAAGTCTGGAATTTACGAAATTGAATGTAAGGACTGCGATGCAAAATATTATGGACAGACAAAAAGATCTATTAAAGTAAGATATAAAGGAACAATCACTCTAGCAAAACCCTTACAAACATGATTCAATCTTTCTTTATCTATGGAAATCTTCCCTGAATTCTGGAAGCAAGGTTTTCTAACTCCAATCCACAATTATGGTGATAGAGAAAATATTAAAAACTATCGTCCAGTGAGCAAGCAATCTGAAATTCCCAAGTTGCTAGATTGTTTGATAACTAAAAAACTGACATTCGATACAAAAAACATAATGAATGAACACCAACATGGCTTTATATCTGGAAGATCCACCACTACGAATGTATAGCTTTATCAACATTTTCTTTTGAATAACCTAGAGGGAAAACACCAAATTGACTCTATTTATACTGATTTGTCTAAAGCCTTTGACAGGGTAAATCATGATCTTTTCATGGGTAAGTTCCTAGCATTAGGCATCAATGGTAACATGTCAAAATGGATAAAGAGTTATTTGGATAATAGAATTCAGTATGTTAAATATGCTGGTTCCATATCATCACAAATTCCTGTAACGTCTGGTGTCCCTCAAGGATCGCATATAAGCCCAATACTTTTCATTCTTTTCGTTTCGTTAACGATGTGTCGGATGTCATACGCCACAGCTATCATTCAATGTTTGCAGATGATCTCAAACTTTACAGGGTTGTAGATAACACACGTTGGTGGGATGAAAACATGCTTCATTTAAATATAAATAAATGTTATCATATAACGTTTTCAAGAGCTGTGAAAACTATTGTATATCCATATAAAATCAAAAATTAACGTTGACTAACAGTGTTCGTGACTTGGGATTGTTGTTTGATAGCAACTATATATCTGAATGACTCAAATTATTGGGATTTGTTCAACGATCCACAGATAAATTTTCTATGAATACCTTTGAAATCTTGTACTGTTCTTTGGTACGCTCGGTCTTGGAAAATAATTGCGTGATATGGAGTCCTCTATATCAGACAGACATATCTATGATTGAGGAAGTACAAAACCTGTGCATTTAAGCTCGGATATCAGATCCGACTATGAGTACTCAGACATTCTGCTTCTTCTAAATTTATCTACTTTGGAGCACCACCCAGCTGAAATTGATTCAAGACTCCTTCATAAAGTTATAAATGGTGATATGAACTGTCCATTTGTACCACAAATGATTAACTTCAATGTAAATTCAAGAAGAACCAGAGTGTCGGAGTTGTTCAAAGTTCCTTACCATTCTACTAGCTATGGCTTAAATGAAACCATCACTATGCTTAGGTTAGCAAAAAAGAATAGCAGCTATATTGATTTGTTTGACTCTTCCTTGTACTCTTTTAAAAATCAGGTTAAACGTATTGACCTACTATGAAGAAACTGCTGATTATTATTATTAATAATATTTAATTGATATTTGTTTTTTTTTTCTTTTATGGTATTCTATATTATTATTCAATTGTTTATTTTTCAATCACATTATTTATGTATTTATTTACTCATTTACTATGTATTTATGTATAATGGCAAGTCCGTGAATAAATAAATAAACTGAAGCCAATTTGTTGGTAATTAAATTCAAAGCTGCAGACTCAATGTCTTAGATACAAGAAAACAACAAATTGCAAAAATTTTCATACTCACTTCCGAACATAACTGGGGCTTTTACTCTTAGCCATTTTGGCCAGAATATTCTTCTTCTTGTTTATCAATACGGTTATCTTATTCAGTTTATATTTCTTCGACTCTTCGGGGATACACCTGCCATTCCTGAATATTTTCGCAACGATCTTTGACCACTCCTGCAAAAAAAAAGCAAACAAATTCGAACCACGATTTCCATCCAAAACCTTACCTCTTCGTCGGAATCGCTGTCAGTTGTTATTGTGTTTTCAGTTTGGGAATCCCAGCCTTCAATTTCTCTCTGGACTAAAGAATCGAAAAAAGCCATCATTTTCACATCTTCATTCGTCGACTGGTCGCTATAGTCGTGATTGATACGCTGGAATAAATGTTGTAAGAAATCTGTGATTCGTTATTTATCTCACTTCTGTTTCAGATGTCAAAGCTTAAACAAATGTTATATTTTCATAACAATAGTAAGAGTCTAAATTTCTGTTGTTGTTTCTCATTCGCAAGATACTTACGTCACTGTTCCCAACCAAACTCATGTAGTCTTCGTGGCTAAAGATGGTCCTACCTGACTCATAACTATCTTCTTTCAAAATCGATCCTCCCCAATTGTTTATAGGTACTGTACTCCAGAGCTATAGACAAATAGTTATAATAATTGAAAGTATAGCATCGAACCAAACAGTGGAAAAATCACAAAGGCCAAAATGACACAATTTCTTAAGAAATTCAATATTTTAATGTAGAAAAAGTGCAGTAAAAGGCATATACATATTCTTAGAAACACAGTGTGTAAATGTATCGTAACTTTAACTTATAACAGGAAAAAATTGTGACAAACAGCAAGTTGCAAATCTGTTTGCAACCTCAGTGGAAAGAAAATGAGATAAGCTCTCCACAAAGCATGTTCTTCAAACCTATTAGCGATTGTGATATCAAGCACATTATCCTGGGCCAAAAAAAAATACTCCGCAGGGATCGATGAGATTCCAGCTTTACTACTGAAAGACTGTGCCATACAAGGTTGCTATCCAAAGAAATTAATTATCACAAAAACTATCCCAGTGTTTAAAAAAGGAGACACTCATTGTATAGAAAACTATAGAATGATAAGTATACTCAACTGCTTTTCAAAAGTTATAGAAACAGCTGTGTACAATCAACTGATAAATTACCTAGAGCATAGAAAAATAGTAACCCCTTGTCAGCGCGATTTCCGACCCAACTACTCCATAGAGACCGAAGCAACAGATATGATTCAGTATATCTACGACCTCACCCGCGCCTTTGACACCATCAAACCATACTTCTTGAAGATAAAATTAGAAGGAATGGGCATTCAAGATCCCATACAATCTTTCATTTTTTCATACATGACCGGTAGAACACTAAAAGTTGAGGTCAATAAAGAACTTTCAGAGAAAAAAAATATTCCCCTTGGGACTCCTCAAAGTGGAGTATTGGGTCCTCTCCTGTTTTTATTGTATATCCATGACCTACCTCTCCACATTAACAAAGGGCAGGTTTTCATTTATGCAGATGATTCAACAATTATATTACCTGCTAATGATACATTTGACTTGATGAATGATATACAACTAGTAGTGAAGAACTTCAGTCAGTGGTGTGTGATAAATCACCTCATCAATAATATGGAAAAAATGGTCCATATCCAATTCAGCAGTTCTCAAAAACACTTCAACAACATGAAGTCCAACTTAGGCCACACTAATATCTTAGCATCAGAAAGCATGAAATTCCTATGGAGCTGGATTACAAATTAACCTTCAACAACCAAATTGATAACAGAATAAACTATATTATGCTTTTACTAGTCTCAAATCGATCTTTCACAGAAACCACTTGATTAACAGGTATTATGCTCTTGTCTATACAGCAATCAGTTGTGATATCATTACAAATTCGATATATAGATGTTTCCCGACACTAAATGGGAAACATCTGTATCGAAAACCCACTCACCACCATCAATCGACTAAGAGAGGAATCATCAAGACTCTACTAGACCGTGCCTTCGGGCTCTGTATTACAAAGGAAGGTCTCGAAAAGGAACTAGGCATCATCAAAAATGACCTTCAACGGAATGGTTACTCCATAGTGATGGTAGAACAGGCTTTAGCTACAAGACAGCAAGAGCTCCACAAGGAAGAGAAGCCGCCACAACCAGTACTTGTACTTCCCTACATCAGAGGATTATCGGAAAGGATAAGGATTGGGTACAAGTATAACATCAGGACCTGCCTCAGATCTGGGAACACTATCCATAGCAGCATCACGAAAACCAGGCCACCAAACGCGGACTGCGATTCCAAGAATTGCATTTACCGGATACCCTGCGAGTGCGGAGAATCATACATCGGTGAAACTAAGAGGCCATTAAAAGTTCGCATTGCTGAGCACCAGAAACACATACAGCGAGGAGAAACCAGCAAATCCGTAGTAGCAGAGCATGTTTGGACTGATCAACATAATATCAAGCGGGCTCAAGCTGAAATCATCCACAAAGAGGAACACTGGTTTAGAAGAAAATTCAAAGAAGCCGCGTATATGTTGTCCAACAACGCATTTAGTCGGGCTAGCGTAGAGATACGTAACATATGGAAACCTCTAATCAAGCTAAAAACGACCAACTTCGTCCAAACTGTCATCTCCCGCTAAAACCAATGAAGCGGAGAGAGGGAAGAGGGGACAGGTGAAAGCACTCCAGTTATCACCCGAAGACGATTGTGGATACTAACAATCGAAACGTCGTGACGTAACCTGGTTTGGAATCTTTTAATTTTAATTTTTTAATAGTGACAGTCACTTAAGATATCAGGTTATTTTGCAATTTTCCTCTAAAAAAACAAATATTATTCACTCCAACATTACAATCTCAACTATGACCTACATACAGCTGACAAATGAACCATCAATACATTGTATCGATGGGACATCCTGGTTTAGTCCTCAATAATTATGTCAAGAATGAATCATGGAGTCAATTATTTTTTATGCCAGACGATTCAGCTGATGTTTCAAAAATGCTTATTTTGAATATAACTTAATTGAAATGTACAAAGATTAGTTCGAATGTTCACAAAGGTGATTCATCAGAATGTTGAATATTTGTTTATATTTCCAAATCCTGAAATTTATAGATAAGAAGTTTATTCATTCAGTGCGACATGTCCTATTATAAAATAGTAATACAAACATGTTTCTAGACTAACAGTTATTTAGAAAAAGGAAAAAAATTATAGTGCATCACAAAAAAAGAATAATGAAAATAAAATAATGTAAAGTAAATTCGTGTGAAGGAGATTGAGTATGTTGAAATACACTCTGGAGATTTATAGTGACTGAATATGTTTACTGATCCTCGTCTTAAATACATAAATGACATTAGATTCCTTGATGTCCTGTGGTAGCTTATTGAACTCATCACGTCCTTTATAAAATAGCGATTTCATTGAGTTTGCCATTTTCCAAATATAAAAACTCAGCAAAAAGTTTCAAATCTATGACACATCTGAATGTAATCACAAGGAATGAAAACAAACACTGATATAAACATTTGTTTATCGATTTATGACACCATGGTCAATATTTTTATTCAGAAACTTATTTGTTCTAAACCATGATAAAACAAAGGATAATATATCACCACCTTTATCAGAAATTTACTGTGAATCTGTTCATTTTTGTACCATCTGCTGATTATATTTTCTAAAGTAAATAACTAATCTTATCAAATATACCACTACACAGGAAGTTATTACGTGTTGAGAACAGTTGATGCAACAATTATAATGCATCCCACCGGATGTTGAATTTATTTGAATTACTTTTGCAAACATTAATGATTACCAAGATATTTGTTTGGGAAGGGAGATATTGGGCTTTCTACTTCTCCATCGACTATAAAAACGTTGAAAACTCACAAAGATAGAAAGAATGGAAATAACTACAAAAAAACTTGTGCCAGCGTTTTGCCGTCCTTTTATTGGTTTCTTCAATCTTGGTTACAGGAAAAAGTCGCAGGGTGTCAAATCCGGTGAATATGATGGCTAAGGTACGATTACAGAAGGTGCATTATCATGATGGAAAAGCCATTAATTGTTTTTTCACAATACTGGACGTTTTCTTTGTATTGCTTTTAGCAAGCGGTGCATAACTTCAAGATAATAATCCTTATTGACAGTACGACCATGTGGCAAGAACTCTCGATGCACTACGCCACGGTAATCGAAGAAAAAAGTGAGCAAAACCTTGAGATTTAATCGAACTTGGCGTGCTTATTTTTAATTGACTCTCCTGGGCTCTTCCATTGGGACAATGGCTCTTCCATTGGGACAATTGGACTTTGGTTTCAATGTCATAACCACATACGCATGATTCGTCACCAGTAATGACCCTTTCAAGCAAAACTGGATCGCCGTTGATGTCATTCATCATTCAATTCCTGAGCGATGCTAATACGACGGTTTTTTTGATCAAAATTCAACAATTTCGGAACGGACTTCGCTGCCACACGCTTCATGCTCAAAATTGCATGACGTGAGCCAACTGATACGCAAACATCCTCAGAAACTTCTCTGATAGTGATTCGTCGATTCTACATAACAATTTTCTTCGTTTTCTCCACATTTTCATCGTTTGTTGATGTTCTGAGGCGTCCAGGGCGAGCGTCGTCATTCACATCTCGACCTTCAGTGGAAAGCTTGTACCACTTGTAAAAAATTTTCTGACTCACAGTACAATCACCGTATGTCACTGTCAATATTCCAAGTGTTTTTCAGCTCCAGTCTTGATGGAATTCCTCCAACTTTTCTTAAATCATTTAGCTTCATTTTAGCTCAAGCACTTTTCTAAATATTTAATAATTCTCTATCATCTGGCAAATTCCCAACACAAATTGTTAGAGTTAATCATTACTATTGTCACACCATAGCAGTTACATCGGGTGTTCCACAAGGTTCACATTTGGGACCACTGTCTATGAAGATGCTTGGCTTCACAAAAAGAACCACTCGTGATTTCACCAACATCACTGCTATTAAATCTCTTTATTTTTCCCTGATTAGATATCATCTCGATTATTGTTTCACAGTTTGGTCCCCTCATTACGTTACACAAAAAGTGAAATTCGAGGCCATACAGCACAATTTTCTGCGATATAATGCCTTCAAGATGTGTGTATACTGTGACTATACTGCATTGGAATGCATTTTGAACATACCTTCTCTTGAGGCTCGCAGAAAACATAGAGATTCAATACTTCTATTAAAAATTATTCAACGGACTAAGTATCAGCCCTGAGCTTTTCTCCAAAATATCTTTACATGTCCCCAGTCGTTAAACTAGACAGGTGCAAACGTTTTACGTTTCTTTTCACAGAATCAATTATTCATATAATAGCTTTATTCCCAGAACATAATACAGAGTGACATAAGATCATGTTTCAGAATTGATTATAAGTAAAACATATTTGAGACAATATGAAAAAAATACTGTTGGACAATACCCTTCTTTGAACGACTTATTGATTAGATATGTTATTGGAGTAGTTATTTCATTAATAATAATTTTCAGGTGTTCTGCCCTCAGTTTATCTAGTCCTGGCGACTTTCTCTTTTTCAATGAGATAATCAAA